AATTCTCCTAAATTCCAACTCTCCCAAATTCCCAATCTCCCAAATTCCCAATCTCTCAAATCCCAAATCTCCCAAACCCCAAATCTCCCAAATTCCAAACCTCCCAAATTCCTAACCTCCCAAATTCCCAATCTCCCAAATTCCCAATCTCCCAAATTCCCAATCTCCCAAATTCCCAATCTCCCAAATTCCCAATCTCCCAAATTCCCAATCTCCCAAATTCCCAATCTCCCAAATTCCCAATCTCCCAAATTCCCAATCTCCCAAATTCCCAATCTCCCAAATTCCCAATCTCCCAAATTCCCAATCTCCCAAATTCCCAATCTCCCAAATTCCCAATCTCTCAAATCCCAAATCTCCCAAACCCCAAATCTCCCAAATTCCAAAATTCTCCAAATCCCCATTTCTCAAATTCCCAATCTCCCAAATTCCCAAATTCCCAATCTCCCAAACCCCAAATCTCCCAAATTCCAAAATTCCCCAAATCCCCATTTCCCAAATTCCAAATCTCCCAACTCCTCTCCCAACTTCCATCTCCTTCACCCCCAAAATACCCCTCCAAACATACCAACTCATCCACTACCACAATCCACAAATCTAAACCATTTAAACAACAACCCAACACCTATTTTTCCCAGAAAGTAAATTCGTACGAAACGAAACGAGATCGCAACAAGGTCAATTCTGCATCTCGTCAGGCAATAAACATTAAAATTCCCGATAACCGGCTACTTCACGGTACTTTCCCGAACAGGGTACCATTTTGTGATTCTGCAGTCCCTACGCGTGCATTATAACGCGTGTTCCTGTCAAATACATTTCCTCCTAACAAAAAACATTTGAGCCGTCGAAACGAACCGCGGAACAGGAGGAAAGCGGTGGAAAAGGAAAATAAATGGCAAGGGAAAAGAGAGAGGGGAAAAATAAGTCAGAGAGAGAACGAGCACGTGAGCGAGAAAGAGAACAGTTTTACACGCGTTCGCATTCAGTCTGCCCGCGGCGTTCGTGCCAGTCGTATTCCGTGGCTTCTTTCAGATTTTATTGCCTGTTCGTTATTTGTATGCTTTTGTTCTGTATCGGGATTATGAACGAATGTGCGAGTCGCGATCGATCGGTTGAGCTTCAATGATGTGTTTAATGAACCGCGTGGATGGTGTAGGGAAAAGGACTATATTAGGTAAGATAGTGCTCCATTTTTATTTTATATTCTTTTTAATTGGAATATTTAATTTTTACAATTTTTTATATTGATGTTAGGTCTCGTTCTAGGTTTCACGTTTTATATTGCAAAATTTTATTGCCGAATTTTTGTCGAAATATATTTTATTGAGATAAAGGTGCTTCAGTATTTATTGTATCACTGCATTTTCAATTTAGTATGCATTTAACGCCGGTGGTTGCAGTGATAATCTTCAGGTGCTTGGCTGATCTAATTGTAGGTTTAATATAATTGTGATAGTAGTTGATTTAATTTGATAGTTCATTCTTTGAAAATTAGGTATATTGCAGTATTTATCTCATGAGCGCTGTTAACATCTAAGCTTAGTTCTAGAAACGTTGCACCCTGTTAAGTCTGTGATTGCTTTGCCTCAGTTTAATGTATTGCAACAATAGTAATTAGTCATTAATCTATTTTGCGTCTAGTTTTTATTTTGTAAAAATATATTACTCAAGTTTTCGCAGTGTGGGTTCTGCAATGACAAGGGGTGGATTTAGAGATTGCAGCAGAACTTATTAATGATTTATTTCATTTGTTTAAATAGATACTTTACGGCAATTCAATTATAATTCCAGTAACTGTTAATAGTTCAATTTGTACCATAACTTGTTTTCATTTTGCAAAAATACTTTTTAAATACTGGTTAAAGACAGTTTAAGGGATGGACTTCAGAGCAGTTTAAAATTGCAGGACGTAATAATTGATCGATTGTTCCCATTTTGAGTTAAAATGCTCTGCATAAATATCATGTTACATTTGGACTATCCGGATGAGAGTTGAAAAAGATTGGAGTGAAAGTACATAATGTTACCTTGTGCCGAGTTGTCGAAATGTGATGATTGAGTTTCATTCAGAGAATTGTACAATGGGAATACTAGGTCAATACATAAATTCTGTATCATAATCAAATACACAAATGTCTAAGTGCAAGATGTCATAAAAATTGCATGGATGAATCAAAATGCAATGTAATTTAATTAATTACTAACACAAAATGGTGTCAATGACCAGTTCTATAAATTCAGTATAAAATAGACATAATTATAGTAAAATATTTTGAAAATTTGGTTATCATTAATATATGAAATATTTTATATTAACATATAAAATAACAAGTCCAAAATTTCAAGCTAAAATAGCATCAGACATCAAACAATTAAATAATTAAATAAAACAATAGAATTAATAAATAAATAATTAATTATCAAACTAAAATAACATCAAACATCAAACAATTAAATAAGGAAATAAAACAATAGAATTAATTGATAAATAATTAATTATCAAGCTAAAATAACATCAAACGTCAAACAATTAAATAAGGAAATAAAACAATAGAATTAACTGACAAATAATTAATTATCAAACTAAAATAACATCAAACATCAAACAATTAAATAATGAAATAAAATAACAGAATTAATAAGTAAATAATTACTTATCAAGCTAAAATAACATCAAACATCAAACAATTAAATAATGAAATAAAATAATAGAATTAACTGATAAATAATTAATTATCAATCCAAAATAACATCAAAAATCAAATAATAAAATAAAACAATAGAATTAATTGATAAATAATTAATTATCAATCCAAAATAACATCAAACATCAAACAATTAAATAAAGAAATAAAACAACAGAATTAATTGCTAAATAATTAATTCTAAATAACTGAATTTGTTTTCTAATAAATGAATTCAAAGCTACATATCATACATAAAGAATAAAGTACAAAATGAAAATCATAACTCTGAATGAGTTACTCTGCGTGCAATCTTCCGTATTCACTGCGACATCGAACGTGCTAATAAGTCTTACCACATCCATTTGCACCGTGACAGTCAATACGTTAAATACCAAACACGCAGGTAAATCCTACAACCGCAGAAATCGTAGAAATATTTAATATCCTTAAACGAAATTAAATTACGTTTCTATTTTAACTTCATGGCCAATGGTAGACGCAGTGTTTTCTGAAATAAGATCTACCATCACATAGAATTTTTAAAATTCTATAAATTCTACCTTTTAAAAATTTTTACAGAAGGTAAAAACCTTCTGTAATATTCATACTTCTACGTGGAATTTATTTTTTGAATTTCGACGAATGCAATATTGTTTCGTAATAATTCTAAGAGAAACCGCGATTCGATTGCATTGGCGTAAATAGAGTGGCCGCCATTTTACTCTTCTCAAAAAGACTGTAATCTTAATGTAGCACAAGTTATATTACTTAAGCTTCTAATTTTTGAAACTTGCAAATTCAGAAATTTGAAAATTTAATAATTTATAGATTTGCAATTGTGAGAAGGTAAAAAGTTCAAGAACGAATGTTGTGAAATAATTCTACTCCTGAATTCTATGTCACTGAAATTAATATTAAAATTGAGTTTCCTCAAAAGCAAATACAAAAAAATTGTAACCTAAATCTTTATCTTTTCGACACCTAAGTTAATACTTAAATTGAATCAAAAATTTGTGTCCCAACCCAAAACTCAGTTACGCCAATGTGCAAAGCCGCAAACAAATCTCGCGTGCGAATTAACATTGTTTATGCTCAATGTACAGAACCAGTGCGTGTTTGACGTTGTAATTAAGGCCCATTGGTAGTCGTTGTTTCAGTCTTAATGAATTAACGCGTAGAAGTTCCGAGACATGTGTGGATGTATTAATGTGCCGTTAACGTTTACTATTCACAGCAAGGACAAGCCAATTTATTGCTTCAATGATATGATCGTCGCGCTAGATTGGGTACATTGCTGGTGGTTCTAATTAACGGCGCTCGTAATGTGCATGCAGATTGTTTATTTAGTCGAGGAAAATGTGCGGCGAGATCTTGTATTCGTTAATTAAAACGTTCTGGTTCATTAGAAGAGGATTCGAGTTATGTAATCTTTCAAAGATAAATGTTCACGCGTTACGACTTACGTGGGTGTTACTTCCTCGTAAATCTGGATGATCGTAATTAGATTTGATTAAACTCAATTTTTGTATCTTTTGTAGAATCGCAGATGACGATTTAGGGTTCGGAGTCCAGTGGTGAACAGTGGATAGTTGGGTTTTTATGGGGTGAATTGTTTTTATCGGACAATGTAGGAGGAGACAATGTGGGACAAGATACTAGAACCAACACTTACAAGCTTTTCTTTGGCCAAGCTTGAAATCTTCGAGTTTACTGATTTTTGCCTATTAATGAAATTCTGCTAGTTTCAAGGTTACAAATTTTTCCTTAACTACTGAAAAAATAGAGTTCAGAATTTATTACTTTCAGTATGGAACTCATAAAAATATCTCTATAATTCTACATAGTCATCTAGAATCGATTATTCAGATATAGATTTAGATTTATATCTTTAGAATAGCTCCAGTTTATCTAGATCTCCAGTTTTGGGTCTTTATTGAATCACACTCTGTAGAGGGTGTCCCACAGTATTCCTGAAATGGGGGGTAGTTGACAGCTTCGGGTAACGCGTAGTTATCCAACGCGTAGTAATGTAGCGCGTGGTAATTCTGCGCGGAGTAATGCAACGTGTGGTAATCCAACGCATAGTAATTCAATGGGTAGTAACCCAGCGTGCGGATATCTAACGTGTAGTAATCCAGCGCGTGGATATTCAACGCGTAGTAATCCAACGCGCAGTAATGCAACGCGTGGTAATTCTACGCGTAGGAATCTAACGCGTGGTAATCTAACGCGTAGTATTCCAACGCGTAATAATCCAGCGCGTGGTAATTCTCCGCGGAGTAATGCAACGTGTGGTAATCCAACGCATAGTAATCCAACGCATAGTAATTCAACGCGTAGTAATCCAGCGTGCGGATATCCAACGTATAGTAATCCAGCGCGTGGATATTCAACGCGTAGTAATCCAACGCGCAGTAATGCAACGCGTGGTAATTCTACGCGTAGGAATCTAACGCGTGATAATTCAACGCGTAATAATGCAACGCGTAATAATCCAGCGCGTGGTAATTCTACGCGTAGCAATGCAACGTATGATAATCCAACGCATAGTAATCCAGCGCGTAGTAATCCAACGCGTAGTAACCCAGCGTGCGGATATCCAACG